CCTGAATAAGGTCCATGATCTCCACCCTGGACCAGGAAGGCACCGGCCTTCTCCAGCCCCTGTCAGGCTCCTGGGAGCTGGCCAACTGCTCCTGGGGAGGGGTGGAGGGCTGGCTGCCTGTGGCTGGCTGGCTCATGGTTTGGGACCAGTGGGTCAGGGGCAGTGACTGCTGGCTCTGGGCTGGCAGGCTTAGAGCTGGCACAGGCACTGTGGCCAGAGTCAACCCCTTTAAGGGCTCTGGGGTTGGGGGAGGAAGAGGAATGTTCTTGGTTGAGGCTGGAGTGGCCACCAGGGCTTCCTGGGAAGGCTGGAGGCCCCCTATTTCGATATAAGTGTCTACATAGTTCTTATTTCGAAATAGCTATTTTGAATTTGGCATTATTCCTCATAGAATGAAGTTTACCAAATTCGAAATAAGCACTCTGCTATTTCGAATTTATTTTGAAATAGCCGTTTGGCTGTGTAGATGCTAGGAAAGGGCTAGCATCCAAATAACTTTGCTGTGTAGACATACCCTGAGTATAGAAAGGAAACTTTTAATAAAAGGGAGGGAAATAACTTGGCATTAATTTGGGAAAACACCATGGTGGTGAGTAATGAAGGCAAGGGAAGGCATTGCCTTCCCAAAACTGCCTATGTGCCCTAGCCACTGGGCTGTGGCTGTAGTTGCCCAATGCCCAGGAAGGCTGGGGCTGGCGCCATGGCAGCTGGCAGCTTGGCTGCTGGGGAAGGGGAGGGCTCGGGCCATGGCTGCCTGATGCCTGGGAAGGCTGGGGCTGGGGTCTTGGCAGCCTTGCTTTTGGGGAAAGCTGGGGCTGGGGCCACTGCCATGGCAGCCCATTTCCCTGGATGCTCCAGATGCCCAGGAAGGATTAGATTGGTGTTGGGTGGGGCTTAGCTCTGGAGGGAGGGGAGAAAGCAAGGTTGCTGAAGGGGTGGATCCTTGGACAGAAAGGAGGGGGTTGGGGCTTGCCTTCCCCAGCTGGGCCTTCATCTGCCGTCTATGGAAAACACCACGAACAAAGTGCATAAACAAAATCCCAGAGTACAAGTCCCACTCTAAGTGGGTTGGACAATTTCCTTTTCCACTCTGGTTCTTAAGTTCAGCAATCTAAATATTCCCTTCCCATGCCCAGCCTGTCTCTGCACCCCACTCTTAGTTGCTGTCATTGGTCAGAGCTGACCCAGAGCAGACTTTCTGGGGGTGGAGGGGGGGGAGGAGGTTGTTGAAAAGGTGTGTGGCTTTGGGTACAAGGGGCGACGCTTCAGCTTGCCTTCCCCAGCTGGGCCTTGGCATGGACAACTCAGAGCTACAGCCAGCAGTCAAATTCATAATCAGAACTACCAAATGTAAAGTTGTGCCCCTGAGCAGTTGTCACTTTGTAAAACACAGCTGACATCTGATCCAATATTAACGAGATATTTGGTTGACAGTTATGTTTGTTGTACTTAACTCTTATGTCATATCTGTATTGATCTGTTTTTGACTGATGCTTTCTATTACACTTGCAGTATTATGTCATATCTAGGAAGAATGTTTAAAAGACTACAAAGGACATGAAATTCATTCACGGGATATAAAAACCTGCTTAGCTTTAATCCCTAAATTTTTAAAGAGGGAAATTCATGGCTAGCTTGGTGGTTAAAATGTAATCCCTTGCTTAATGTCTGCCCTGTAGGGCATGCTGTAAAGGCAGCATATTTTGGCCTTAATGACACTGAAAGTGAAATGGATGAAACCACATAACAGCTTCTAGAAACATTTTGGTCTCTGGGGAAATGGTAGTAGGGTCACCTTGGTGTGAAAGCAGAATAGATGTCCTCAGATTTAGCCATTCACTTAACTTTTCTGGAAATACTTTGCATTTAATCTCATCCTTACATAATCTGACCACCTCTCCTCCTCCTCCCCCCACAAAGAGGCTGAGAGGCAGTTGCAACATGGGTATTCAACATATCAGAGCTGCAGCATGGCCAGTGCCTCCTCCAAGGACACTGGTGATGAAGCAGACACAGTGACTTCAGCAGATACGGTCAATGTAACTGAAGGATAATTTGCCCCAAAATCGGCAGTCTGGTCTCCTACTGAGTTTACATTTCTAAAATACCAGTTCTTATATTCTCCCTGGTAGCTACCTTCCTTTCTTCCAGAGCAGACGATACTAAACTGCTCAAGGTAGTTAAGACCAAAGCAGACTGTGAAAAACTTCAAAAAGATCTCACCAAACTAAGTGACTGGGCAACAAAATGGCAAATGAAATTTAATGTGGATAAATGTAAAGTAATGCACATTGGAAAAAATAACCCCAACTATACATATAATATGATAGGGGCTAATTTAGCTACAACTAATCAGGAAAGAGATCTTGGAGTCATCATGGATAGTTCTTGAAGATGTCCACTCAATGTGCAGCGGCAGTCAAAAAAGCAAACAAGATGTTAGGAATCATTAAAAAAGGGATAGAGAATAAAACGGAGACTTATTGCCTTTATATAAATCCATGGTAAGCCCACATCTTAAATACTGCATACAGATGTAGTCTCATCATCTCAAAAAAGATATACTGGCATTAGAAAAGGTTCAAAGAAGGGCAAGTAAAATGATTAGGGGTTTGGAACGGGTCCCATATGAGGAGAGATTAAAGAAACTGTGACTTTTCAACTTGGAAAAGAGGAGACTAAGGAGGGATATGATAAAGGTCTATAAAATCATGAGTGGTGTGGAGAAAATGAATAAGGAAAAGTTATTTACTTGTTCTCATAATATAAGAACTAGGGGCCACCAAATGAAACTAATAGTCAGCAAGTTTAAAACAAATAAAAGGAAGCTCTTCTTCACACAGCGCATAGTCAATCTGTGGAACTCCTTGCCTGAGGAGGCTGTGAAGGCTAGGACTATAACAGGGTTTAAAAGAGAACTAGATAAATTCATGGAGGTTAAGTCCATAAATGGCTATTAGTCAGTATGGGTAAGGAATGGTGTCCCCAGCCTCTGTTTGTCAGAGGGTGGAGATGGATGGCAGGAGAGAGATCGCTTGATCATTACCTGTTCGATTCATTACCTCTGGGACACCTGGTATTGTCAGCAGACAGGGTACTAGGCTGGATGGACCTTTGGTCTGACCCAGTATGGCCATTCTTATGTTCTTAAGCATCCTGATCTTGCTTAGTAGGATTGCACTAGCTTTCTATTTCGCTGAGCTTTCCAGTTAATCTGTTGTCTTTTTTAAAAATGAGCTCATTTCCTGTATGCTAATTTGGTGAAGAATTTCCTAAGAGTCTTTGTTGAGTGTTTTAGGTTTTGCTTCTTTTTGGCCCAATTAGTAGCTCACTATCAGAACAGCTAAGATGATATATGAACTTCAATTGTTTATGAACTGTATTTCCTCTTGTTTTTTCTCCCTTCTAGAGTATTGACTTTTGATGTAAGCTAAGGAATGGAATCTTTAGCTTTATAAGTCCAAATGGTTGAGAAAAGAGAGATTCTATATCCTACATCTAGAAGAATTTGAAATATTAGAACTGATACTTTTTCTATGTTTTGCTTTCTTTCAACGTGATTTACAGATTGTTAGAATTAATGTTCTTGATCATTGGTTCTCAAACAGGGGTACATGTACAGCAGTTTTCCAGGGCCTCAACTCATCTATATATTTCTCTGCTTCTACAACAGTCTACATAAAAAGCACTAAAAAGTCAGTACAAACTGCAATTTCATACCATGATTTCTTTCTAATGCTCTACACTGAAATGTAAGTACATTATTCATATTCCAATTGATTTACTTAATAATTACATGGTAAAAATGAGAAAATAGCAATTTTTCAGTGAGACTTTTGTATTTTTATGTTTGATTTTGTAAGCAAATAAGTTTTTAGATGAGGTGAAACTTGGGGATGCACAAGTCCAATCAGATTCCTGAAAAGGGTACGGTGGTCTGGAAAGGCTGAGAGCTACTATTTTAGTTATTTGTAATTCTTAAATACTGGACTAACCTGGGTGGCTAGGGCTAGAGCAGTGGTTCTCAAAATTTTTGTACTGGTGACTCTTTGCACACAACAAGCCCCTGAGTATGATCCCTCTCCTAGAAATTAAGAGTAAATTTTTTATATGTAACATTGTGCTAAATGCCAAATTTAAACCCTGTTGCTTAAAATGAATTTACCTCTTCTTACTGCTTTTAAATTAAAACTAAAACATGTATTGAATTATTGTTTATAGCGCAAAAGTTATTTTTAAATAGACTTTGTTTTAATGCTTAAGAGCAATTAATCACCAAAAAATCAGTAAGAGGGATGATGATGTTTATTTGACATCAGAAGCTTTATTTTGTGTGTTTTAGACAGAGCACATCTAATATCCTTTACATTAAATGGGTTTTGAGATTTCATCTTTATTGTGAGAAGGCTGGAGAATCCACTCTTGCATTCATGAGTAGTGGAAACTGGCAGAAGGATTTTGAGGGTAATTTCAGAAACTAGTGGGTATTTACTTGCACCTGAATGGAAGTGGCTATGTGAATTTTGTTTTTACTTCATCATCATTGATCATATTGACAAATTGTTCTTGTGTGTGATATCTTCAGTAGGTAACTGCTCAGGGTAGCTCTGGGAAGTAGTGTGAGAGTACTTTGTGAAGGGCTCTCAGATGTTAACTAATAGCTGACTTGAGAGTAATGTCAATGTTGGCTTCCTCCTCCTCGCTGAATGAGGAAAGTGTCAAAAACACACCATCTCACTATCTAAGGGTATGTCTACACTACAAAGTTAATTCGAACTAACAGACATTAGTTCGAATTAACTTTGATAGGCGCTACACTAGCGCTCCGCTAGTTTGAACTTAATTCGAACGAGGTAAACCTCATTGTACGAGGACTAACGCCTAGTTCGAATTACCTCCTCGCTGAATGAGGAAAGTGTCAAAAACACACCATCTCACTATCTAAGGGTATGTCTACACTACAAAGTTAATTCGAACTAACAGACATTAGTTCGAATTAACTTTGATAGGCGCTACACTAGCGCTCCGCTAGTTTGAACTTAATTCGAACGAGGTAAACCTCATTGTACGAGGACTAACGCCTAGTTCGAATTAGCTAGTTCTGGCCAACACCAGGGAAACTTGTCTGCCCCCCTCCTGGCCCCGGACCCCTTAAAGGGCCACGGGCTGGCTACACAGTTTGTGCGCTGCCCGCCCCCAGCCGCCAGCCCCTCCCCCTGCCACGCCATGAGCCAGCCACCCGATGCCACCCAGCCCTCCCCCTCTTCCCGGGATGAGCCTGGCGGCTCCCAGGAACCTGCCCGGGGCCGCAAGAGGCGGGCACCCGCTTGGTCTAGTGTGGAGATCGTGGACCTCATCTTGGTTTGGGGGGAAACCTCCAATGTCCGCGATCTCCGCACTAGCCACAGGAACGCGGCTGTCTACGGCTGGATGGCTGGCAGCCTGGCCTCCCGGGGCCACCAGCGCCGCCGGGGGCTGG